TGTTTGTAAAAAAAAAAAAAAAAAAAAAGTCATGATGGGACCAGCAGATGGCATAATGGTTATATCCCTGGACTCCCACATGGCTGACTACAGTTGAGTCCCAGACCCAGAGGCTTGAAACTCAAGCCAGGTGCGTGTGTGGGTCAAGAAGGGACTGCGGTGTGGCCATAGCCCCTGGCGGGTGACTTCTCACTTTCTGTCTCTTGGGCAAACATACACATACCTTATAGCAAAAAAATCTCTCAAAAAAAAAATTAATTAGAAAAAAGGTCATAATGCATTTTTGCATAGAAGAATATGTCAGTTTTTCTGATGATCCAAAATTTCTAATCTCACCCATTAAGATAGTTCATGTATTCTGTCCAAAATGCCTTCCTGCAGCCTCTTGCTTGGCTCTCCCATCAGGGCTGAGTCACATGTGCTGGACTACGGAAACCACTCCCTGAGACATCTGTGCACGGTCCTATCCCAGTCCTTCACACAAACTGGATTTTCTGTCTGTCTGCCCAAGAGGGAGGAGGTTCCAAAAGCCCAGGAATACAGAAGGAGTCTTCCTTGGGACAAGATATATCACAGATTTTTTTTTTTTTTTTTTTTTTTTAGATTTTACACTATGAAACATCTTGGGGATAGGACCCAAGTCTAAAATTCATTTGTTTATGTGTAGATGACATTTCCTGTAAACACCATATTTTACATGGTACACACATCATATGTACCTCATATGCAGTCTGAGGTAATATAATATTTTTATATTATAGTGTTTTGACTGTACCCATCATATGAGGTCAGATGTGGAATTTTCCACTTGTGGTGTCATGTTAGTGTATGAAAGATTTCAGAGCAATTTAGATTTCAGATTTTCAGACCATGAGTGCTCAACTTGTATGTCTTTTTTTTTTTTTTTTTTTAAGCGAGATTTTTGCTATAGGGTGCATGTGCTCACCAGAGAGACAGAGAGAGAGAAAGTCAGAAATCACCCTCCAGGGGGGATGGCCATGCCGCAATCCCTTTCCTCCATTTTCCTCTCAGGATCTTGGGCATACACGCATATGCACCTGGCGTTGAGTTTCAAGAGGCCGGGTCTAGGACTCCAACTGGAGTCGAAAGGGACTGGGTGGGAGTCCAGTGATGTAACCATTATGCCATCTGCTGGTCCCAACCTGTATGTCTTAATTATCTGTCTATCATCTGTGTTTAGCACAGTGCCTGGCACATGCACACGGCATAATCAGTATGTACCAGAATGAATAAAGTCCAACGCACTGTCCTCCTCGTCTTCCTGCCTGTCTGTTCTCCTTGGAGGAGATGTCCTCCCAAAGTGTGGCTCCATCTCTGCTGACTGTCTCAGTCAGAATGATTCCTATACCCAAGATGGCTTACCCTTACTCCAAGGTCACACGCACAAAAACAAGGGTGCCACAATCACTCGATCTGTGAAAACTATATACCACCGTTAATCTCACAATCCCATCCAACCTTTTCTGCACAGCAGTACATGAATCAGGTTTGGCTTGCCACCTTGGTAAGCACAAATACTAAAAATAAAAGAGGTAAGAAGGCAAGGGAAAACTGGAGCCAAGAACACATGCCTTTAGGCCGAAGAGAGTCTGGCAGACAATATGTAATAAATGTAACAAGAGTTAGGAAGATGAGCACGTATCTCTAAAGTGTTCCAAAAGGTCTGGTCTAAGACCAGCCAGGTGGCGTGCTGGTTAAGGAGACTGGATCTGACATGACCCAGATCTGACAGCTTGAAAAACACATTGGTGAATGTATGCACAGGTCCAAAGTCCTGAGAGGAGAAAGGAGGAGAAGCGATTGCAGAGTGACCACTACCTGCTCTCTTCTTCAGCGAGCACACACACCCTACAGCAAATAAAGAAAAAAAGAAAAAGGCTGGTCTGTCTCATCCTTGAGATCTTCTCCTGTATGTAAAAGTAACATTTTAGGCAAGAGATTTCCACTACCCTCCCCTCCATTTGGGAGTAGATTCCTTGTATTATAATGAGAGTAGACAGGAAAGCATGACTGCCTGACTGAAAATTCATTTTATAGCTAAATTTGCCGTACCGTTTTTCTGTAACGCTAAGGACACCTGTTGAAAAGAGCTGTATTAATCCACGTTTGAGAACATCAGTCTGACTTACTGGAAGTAGATCAGAAACAAACGTCTTCCTTCTGACTTTTCTTTTATGAGGCACTTCTTCCATTTCATCGTCTTCAATCAAATCACCACCATTAGCATTCTCTAATATTTCCTCAGTCTCTGCAGTGGTTTTTAACCTTTGGGTTTCGGCCTCCTTCATCTGAATTACTATTTCGCCAGCATCCATTTCCAAAACGTCCGATAAGATCTTTAGTATGGCATTTATGATTTCTGCCTGACTCTTGCATGGAATAATGTCTTTTAGATTCCAAATTGTGCCTGGGGGAAAAAAAGAGCAGAAGGACGAAAGAATCTCCCGTGAAATCTTTTATTAAATACAGTTTCCATAAGACTGATTCTTGAAATCCCAACCCTACCGCCTTTGTTCAGTTTCTTCAATTTTGAAAAGTACTGCATGGAAGCAGCCCCCTTGTTATAACCCTTCGCAATAGCCTCCCTTCCTCGGCACACTGCGACTTTCTCTGATACGCTATCATCAAACCAGGGGAGAACTGATCAAGTTTCTTTTAAAATGACAAAGCGAGTTGCCTCACTGTAGTTCCTGGTAACCTAAACTGCTCTCCTCAGAAGCCGCTCATATTCCAAGAGTGGAATGGAATGTACTAAAATTCTAAGGGCTCGCATACAAACCAGAGAGCAGGTTCTTAGTGTTTTGCTTATCAAAATAGGACAGAAGTGGGCCAGCAGTGGCATGGTGGTTAAGGCACTGGCCTCCTACATGGTTGACTGCAGTTAGAGCCCCAGACCAGGCAGCTTGAAAATCACACCGGATACATGTGTGTGTGCATGCCCAAAATCCTAAGAGAAGACTAGAGGAGAAAGGACTGCAGTATGGCCATGCCCCTCGGGGATGATTTCCCACTCTCTTTCTCTCTGTCTCTCTTTGGTGAGTCCTATCACAAAAACCTAAAAAAAGAAAAAGAAAAGAACAGAAGCTATCATTAAACAGTCAGGTTATCTTCTATAAAGTGACTGCAAATATTAAAACATCTCCTGAGTATACATCCAAAAGATGCTGAAAGCAGGGACCAGGATAGATTACACCCGTGTTCATGGCAGTATTATTCCCAATAGCTAAAAGGTGCAAGTGTCCATCAACAAAAGAATGAACATTGCGTGGCACATACATATAATAAACTATTATTCATGTTTAAGAAGGCAATTCTGACACATACCACAACATGGATAAACCCCGAGGCTATTACTTGCATGAGACAGGCAAGCCAAAAAAAAGATAAATACTCTATGATTCACTTATATGAAGTATCTACAGCAATCGAATTCATAGAGAGGTAAGTAAAATAAATGGTAGGGCTAGGGAGAAAATGAGAATAGTTTAGTGGGCATAGTTTCGGTTTTGAAAGGTGAAAAGGGTCCTAGGGGTTTGTTGTACGACAATGTATACACACTGTTCACTTATTATCACTATACTATACACTTCAAAATCATTAGGCTGCAAAGTAAAGTTGATGTGTATTTTCTCACAATTAACAAAGAAAAACAAAACCTCTCAAGATAAATGACCTCTTTGAGGCCAAAGGGCAAGAAGAAAATATATACTGAAACTATATACAGTACACGCTTTAGTCAAACAGACTATCAGATCACTTATTTCTACATTCTGAGATTCTGACGAAAACTTCTAGATAATTAAGTGGTCATGTCCTGAATGATCCAGAGTCAATTTCTAAACTCACTGGGCTTATAACTAAGAGAAGATCTTGACAACAGTATCTCCTTAATAGATAAGCACCTAATTGAAAAAGAGCCTATTCTAGGCTTTTCAACTATAGATAACTGCTTGAATGAGTGGTCCCCACCAAATATTAATATTTTCAGGTCCAGCCAAGGAGGCATGCACTGCTTAGACATGACCATTCTGCAAGCTGAGACCACAAAGGAGGCCTGAGTTCAATTCCTAGCCCAAGCTGAAGGCCAGGCATGGTGACATTTGCCTGTGGTCTCGGTAACTCGGGAAGCTGAACCGGGATTGTAAGATCAAGGTTGGCTTGGGCCACACAGGGAGACCTTGTCTCAAAGAGCCAGCAGTATAGGTGGTACAGTTGGTAGCTGGAAGTCATGCTGCTGACCACGGGTTTGGATCCCTGCCTCAGTCAACCCAAAACAGGCCAAGTGTGTGTGCCCGGGATCCTGATGAGTCAGAGGGCAAGGGGAAGGGGACCAAAGCATAATGAGACATAATGAGACATAATGAGACATAATGAGACATAACGAGACACCATGAAGGATGTTTCTTCCTCTCACTCACACGTGTAAAGTAAGTAAAGTGCTCTCTATCATGGGTAATCATCATTTTAAAAAGGTAGTGCCATTGCTCTTTAAAATAAATAAAAAGCTGGAAACGGTGATGGTACACACCTGTAGTCCCAAGTACTGAGGAGGCTAGGACAGGATGATTATGACACTGTGAAACCCTGTCTTAAAAAATAAAACGGGGGACCAGCAGATGGCGTAACAGTTATGTTGGTGGACTCCCACATAGTCGACTGTGGTTTGAGTTCTGGACCCAGCAACTTAAACTCATGTTGGGTGTGTGTGCATGCATGCCCAAAATCCAAAGAGGAGAATAGACAAGAAAGGATTAACATGGTCATCCCTCCCAAGGGTGTGACTTCTCACTTTCTGTCTCTCTCTGTCTCTCCAGCAAGTGCATGCCCCTTATAGCAAAAATCTCTCAAAAACAAAACAAAACAAAACAAACAAAAAAACAAACAGGGCCAGCTGCTCTTGATTGGCTGAGGTTGGGGGTAGATCACAATATGAACTCTTTGGGGGATGCCTGTTTCTCTCTCTCGGAAGAAATAAACTTAAAAACATTTTTTTTTTTTTTCACAACAGACATAAGCATTCCAGGCCTTGATGTGATAAAATAAAGGAACTTTGGACCCAAGCTCTATCTATTGCAACTTACTAAAAAAGTACACTATCGCATAGGGCCAAATTTTACCTGCCACCAATGTCTTCAATAGAACATATTCCAAGGAACTGACAGGAGAAAGCATTGCTGATTCTAGCACATGCAATCCTGTGGCACTGAAAGATTTTAGTAGCTCCGGGTTATCTTCAGTTACTGTCTGTAAACAATATGCTATAAGACAAAAAAAAAAAAATGTACAAACAAATTCTGTCCAGGACAATTTATAGCAACACAAAACATCAAAAAATGTTACATCTGTACCAATTTTTTATAAGCCTATAGCTTTTGTAGGGTGCTTTACATAACACAAGCAAATGAAGTTTCCCAAACTATCAATAATGTAAAGATCCCTTTTTTCTTTAATTTTTTTCTTTTTCTTTTTGGAGAAATTTTTGCTATAGGCTGTCTGTACTTGCCAGAAAGACAGAGAGAGGCAGAGAGACAGAAAGCGAGAAATCACTGCCCAGGGGGAATGGCCACGCCGCAATCCCTTTTCCATTCTCCTCTTGGGATCTTGGGCAGCGCGCACACGTGCCTGGTGCGTTTAAGCCACTGGGTTCGGGACTTGAACCGCAATCGACTATATGGGAGTCCAGCGACTTAGCCATTACACCCACTGCTGGTCCCTTTCTTCTTTAATTTCTAATCATTTACAGAACTGTAATTTTATAACATAGGATTAAAAAGGTTCTTAAGGGGCCAGCAGGTGGCATGGTGGTTAAGGGCACTGGACCCCCACATTACCGACCGCAGTTCGAGTCTCAGACTTGGTGACTTGCTTTCTCTCTTCCTCACTCTCTGTCCCTCTCTGGTCAAATTAAAATAAATAAATAAAATAATTATTCTAAAAATAAATAAATAAATCATGTTCTTAAATGGGTTGGCAATGTTGAATTACCATGAACATTTAAGAAAGATTGAAGCTTTCATTTATGTACTTATCACAGATCAGTACCAATCGCTGTAGACCACATCTTTAGAGTATTTCTTTTTTTTTTTTTTTGAGAGATTTTCACTGTAGGGCGCGTGCGCTTGCCAGACAGACAGAGAGAGACATAGAGACAGAAAGCGAGAAATCACCCCCCAGGGGGGATGGTCACGCCGCAATCCCTTCTCCTCCATTCTCCTCTCGGGATCTTGGACACGCACGCACACGCGCCAGGTGTGAGTTTTAAGCCACCGGGTCCAGGACACGAACCGCGGTCAACTACGTGGGAGTCCAGCGACATAGCCATTACGCTAACTGCTGGTTCCCTTTAGAGTATTTCTATGTTAATAATAAACAATGGGTTTTGGGACATCCTGGCTTCTTTTAAATTCATCATGATTTACAAGTTAAAATTGTCTCCGGTGAAGCAATAGTTATTTAAGGAAAAAAGTCCTTTTATGGAGCCAGCAAGTGGTGTGGTGGTTAAGGCACTGGACTCCCATATGGCCAACTGTGTTTCAAGTCCTGGACCTGGCAGCTTGCTTTTTCACTCCCCCCACCACCCTGTGATCACATGTGCCCTATAGCAAATTTAAAAACAACAATAATAATTATACATTAAAAAAATGTAAAGTGGATCAGCAAATGGTGTAATGGCTATGTTGCTGGACTCCCATGTAGTCGATCACGGTTTGAGTCCCAGACCCAGTGGCTTAAACTCACACCTGGGCGTGTGTGCAAGCATACCCAAGATCCCAAGGGGAGAATGGAGAAGAGACTGCAGTGTGGCCATCTCCCGGGGGGGTGATTTCTTGCTTTCTGTCTCTCTGGCAAGCGCATGTACCCTATAGCAAGAATCTTTCTCTTAAAAAAAAAAAATTTTTGTTTTTTTTGGAGAGATTTTCACTATAGGGCGTGTGTGTTTGCCAGACAGACAGAGAGAGACATAGAGACAGAAAGCGAGAAATCACATAGCCATTACACTAACTGCTGGTTCCCAAAAAAAGAAATTTTTAAAGAGAAAAATATCATTTATATAAAAACATGAGCAAATTAAGAGGGATAAAATATTAATATCAATAGAGATACGATCCATTTAGCACTTAATTCATCCCTTTTCATTAAAACAAGACAATGGATTTCAACTTGTATATTAGATATAACTAACTCAAAGTATTAAAAAAAAAAAAATTGGAATAGGGCCAGCAGGTGGTGTGGTGGTTAAGGCACTGGACTTTCACATGGTTGACCATGATTCAAATCCTGGGCCTGGTGGCTTGCTTTCCCACTTTCCCTCTCTCTCTCCTCTCTCTCTTTCTCTAGTGAGTGTGCATGCCTTAAGCAAATTAAAAAATAATAATGATAAATAAAATTAAATAAATAATTTTTTAAAAACTGGGATTGCATGAAAGGGTTTGAGGGAAGAGAATTCACCTCTTAAGTACAAAAGTCCAAGTCTGTTTCAAGATATTGTATTACATACAAACCCACTTCTTTCCAGCTCTAAACATTGCAAAATACAGCATGCCCATCCAAATTAGTAAAATGCATACTACTGCTGTTATATAATTTGGTTCCCCAAACACATTTGTATCCAAATTCATGTATTTGCATAGATGTAAATATATATATACACACACACGCAAATATAGTATTTTTTCATCATGAGACTAATCAAATCCACTTTAGCAAAAAGCCAAGATCAGCTATGACTGCTACCAGAAAAAAAGTATAAGTTCAGAAAATCCAGATTAACATAAAGTGGTATCTTATAAGTAAGTCTTGCTTGACTTTCAAGACAAAAGTAACAGGTGTTTAAAAAGCCATGAGCCTATGGGACTAGCAGTCAGTGTAATGGCTATGTCACTGAACTCCCATATAGCCGACCGTGGTTCGAGTCCTGGACCCAGTGGTTTAAACTCATGCCAGGCGTGTGTGCGTGCATGCCCAAGATCTCTAGAGGAGAATGGAGGAGAAGGGATTGCAGCGTGGCCATCCCCCCTGGGGGGTGACTTCTTGCTTTCTATCTCTCTGTCTCTCTCTGTCTTTCTGGTGAGAGCATGCACCCTATAGCAAAAACTTCAAAAAAACCCATGAGCTTAGATAAATAAAGAAAGAAAACACTATTGTAGAATGCAAAAGTACTGCATTCTAATCCATTCCAAAAAAAGGCACTAAAAAAAATAAAAATTAAAAAAAAAAAAAAAAGGAATGAAATCTGTAAGATTAAGTTCAAAAATAAAGTGAAACCTTTCCTTTTAAAAACTATCAAGAGAGCCAGCCAGGTAGCCTCTTGGTTGAGGCAGCTAGATCCCACAGGGCCTACTGTGGTTTGAGACCAGATAGGGTGGCTTGAAAAACACGCTGAGTGCAGATGTGTGTGCGCTCAAAATCCAGAGAAGAGGGTAGAGGGGAAGAGAGTGCGTGTGTCCAGGTCATCCCCCCTAGGGTATGCTTTCTCACTTTCTCTTTGTCTTTCTCTCTCTCCAGTGAGTACAAAAGCCTTGTGGCAAAACTTAAAAACAAAACAAAACAAGAAAACCACTACGAACAATAAATAAATAAAACGATGAACTAACCTTCCTAAAATTCTCTCATTGTACTAAAAGCTGTCCTCAGGCCAGCTATGGCCTGGTAGTTCAGGCAGCCAGAACCCATAAGGTTGACCTTGCAGTTTGAGAAACATGCCAGGTACATATATGCACATATGCCAAAAGTCCCAGAAGATGGAGAAGGGACTACTTCATGACCATGCCTCATGGAGAATGCCTTCCCTCTCCCCTACCCCCGACTTCTTTCTCTCTCTCCCCCTCTCTCTCTGTATCTAAGGAACCCAAGCACCCTCTAGCAAATTTAAAAAAAAAAGAAGAAGAAAGTTCAAAACCTGTTTTCTGAGGGCTGGATCTGTGGCATAGTGGTACAGGGAGTGAGACACCACATGCTCAACTGAAATTCAAATCTAGCCTCGGCAGCTTTGAAACATGCCAGGCACGTGTGCGTGTGAGACCCCAAACCTGACAAAATAATAAATTAAAAAAAAAAAAAAAAAAATTATGGCGGGACCACTCCCCCACTGAAGAATGCTCTCTTCCCCTCTCTCTAGCCAGCATGTGCACCCATTGACAATTGGGGGAGAGGGGAACTGTACTCTGAGATTAAAAACCATCTGCCCATTTCCTAACAGGTGAACTGTTTTTAATTTCCCCGCTGACTCACAATGCCTCCTCTTGTCAAGATTCCATTTGGAGGGAACCAGCAGTTAGCGTAATGGCTATGTCGCTGGACTCCCATGTAGTTGACCACGGTTTGCGTCCTGGACTACCGGGCGCGTGTGCGTGCATGCGTTGCCAAGATCCCGAGAGGAGAATGGAGGAGAAGGGATTGTGGCGTGACCATCCCCCCTGGGGGGTGATTTCTTGCTTTCTGTCTCTCTGTCTCTCTTTCTGTCTGTCTGGCAAGCGCACACGCCCTATAGCGAAAACCTCTCCCCCCCCCAAAAAAAAAAAAAAAAAAAAAAGAAAAGAAAGATTCCATTTGGAGAAAATAATTTTTTAAATTTTCCGAGTAGTATTCTAGGTTATTCTTTTTTAAAAATTTTTCTTTAAAAACAAAACAAAATACCATTTAAGCTGAGAGAGACTTTGATAAGGGGAAGACATTTCCTTGCCAGGAGAAATGCATAGTTCAATAAAAGGACAAATGCATGCCACTATGATGGGCAGAAAAGAAATTATTTTCATTGTGCTTTTCTCCACTCTCATTCAAAACTCAGCTGAGCTGCCAACCCACTGGCTGTCCCCCACTCTGCTGAACTGAGGTTCCCCACGGCTCTCTAACTCAACAGAGAGCAGGCGGGCCAGCCGGCCAGGGAGCCAAGGCAGCTGAAGTTGCTGGATCTTGCTTCTCCTGCCCCATGCAAAGATGCAAGCCTAAGTGAAATTTTGACCACTTTTCTTCTCTCAAAAAAAAAAAAAAAAAAAAATGGAGGCCAGTAAGTGGCATAATGGTTAAGGGCACCAGACTCCCGCATGACCAACTGAGTTTGAGTCCTGGACTTGGCAGCTTGTTTTCTCATTTGCTTTCTCTCTCACTCTAGCCCTCTCTGGTCAAATTTAAATAAATAAAGTTAAATAAAATAATTCTTAAAAAAATGTTTTTTTAAATACAGACTATTAGTCTTCTGCTGGAAATATGAGACAGCAGTACAAGACATTTAAGTAAGTTTAGTTCCAATTAACTTAGGCTTAAAGGCCTACTAGTTGAGGCTTACTGCTTCTTAGCAACTGGAGATGAAAGCATCAAGAATGTGGGGCTGGCAGGTGGCATGGTGGTTAATGGCACTGTACTCTCACATGGCTGATCATGGTTTGAATCCCTGACCTGGCAGTTTGCTTTCTCACTTTCCCTTTCTCTCTCTCTCTCTCTCTCTCTCTCTCACTCACTCACTCATTCACTCACTCTGGCCTTCCCTGGTCAAATTAAAACAAATAAATAAAGTTAAGTAATTATTTAAAAAAAAAAAGAAAATGTCAAGAATTAATAAAGGCTTCTAAGAATAACAACAGGCTAGACACCACACATGTTCACTAATTACCTTTCTCCCTTTTAGATCAAAAAGCTGTATGAGAAAGTATTAATCACACATTTTTAAAAGATTCAGAGTAAACAAAACTCCTCAGCTGTGCATTTATAAAACGAACATGCTATGTCTAAATAAAAATGTTTGAATAAGACTACACATACTTAATAAATCACCTTTTCTTCACTTACCTACTGAAATAGCCAGGTCAACATTGGTGGAAAACCTACTTAAATACTTTAATACAATCTCCAAACACCCTTCTTTGTTGAATATAGATACTGCTCTACTACTGCATTCACTAAATTGAAGGGGGGAAAAAAAAGTTTTACTATTCACATTGTAACATGAAGAAATCAATCACAGAAATCCATGTAAAAAGTAAATGAGGCTTGACAGAATCAAAGAGTTGGAGTCAAACACCCACCACATTAATGTATGAAGAAACTAATGCCCGTTCATATGCTCTGCAATGAGAAGAGCTATCTGCACTTTATTTTGATCACAGTGGGACTTCTTAGCTAGTCTCTTTCCCCTTCTTACTCAAGGTTGAAGCTGGAAAAGACCTTAAAATTCATTTAATTCAACTCCCCATTTTAGAAAACTCGGACCCCAAATGGTGAAGTGATCTGTCCAAAGAGCACATATTTTGTTAGTGACAGAGCTGGCCCAGTACCTGAGTTCCTTGGGTCTGGCCTACTATTCTTCCCACCACGCCACAAAAGTAAGTTAAAGTAAGGTTAAAGGCCTTATCGCATAAAAAATACAAACTTAAAAAACTGTATTTGTGCATTCCTTCTACAATGCAGTTATAATTTCATCCAACAGAATTTGCAATATGCATCACAGAAATTAATTTTTGAAATTATACTTTTTAATGAAAATAATCAGAAAATAATTAGCATTGTTCATAAGCATACATACTCAACACAAGGTGAACAGAACTATAGATAATCATTTTATACATGTTTCCAAAGAAGGGTATTCCTCCACACATACCACTTACACATGACACACTGATCGTTAACAGAGCTGACTAGATTAAGGAGAAATATTTTCTATCTATCTATCCATCGATCTAGTTAGAGCAGCACTGAAGAAGCCCAAAGTATAGCCAGGAGTCAAGGTATGCATGGGTAAAGATCATTGAAAGTGCGAACTGTGAAACAGAAATGCAGGTAACTGCATAGTACGGATAGGGTTCACGGGCATTCAGAAGAGAGAGAAGTCAGTTGGGAGACAAATTCAGGCTCTTTTCGAGGAAATTCTGTTTTCTAAATGTCTAAGTTCAACAAGGTATCTGAGTTAAAGTTATCTGATGCACAGAAAAAGAACACCCATCAGTTAGCTCAAATGGCATTTCCTCGCATCTTCTCTCTCGGGTACCTTGGTGGGAAACTCCCACTAGTTAAACACAAAATCACAAGCATGATCGGACTGCCATGGAGGCAGCTTTTCAGGATCCAACTTCATCGCTTGTAGGAAACAAGGAACAACTGTGCTTTCAGGCTGGCTGGTGCCATTGCTGCTGACTGAAAACAAGGAACTATGACAGAATCTTGCTAGAAACGTGGGACATACAATGGGGCAGAAGGGTCAGCAAATGGCGTAGTGGTTAAGACACTGGATTCCCAAATGGTAGACTGCGGTTTGAGTCCCGGACCTGACAGCTTGAAACTCATACCAGGCGTGTGTGAGTGCATGCCTCAAATCCCAGGAGAATGGAGGAGAAGGGAATGTGGCATGGCTATCCCCCAGGGGATGGGGTGATTCTCACTCTATCACTACAGCAAGTGCATACACCCTATAGCAAAAAAATCTCTCTCTAAAAAAAAAAAAGAAAGAAAGAAAGAAAGAAGAGAAAAAGAAAAAGAAAAAGAAAAAACTTATGGGACAGAAGTAAATCCTCTAGCCATTTCCACACCAGACAACAGGTCCACTCTATCCTTCCACTGCCACAATCCTGGGAAAGTGGCTTTCTTCCTACTGGGGTCAAAGAAACTCTCTTTAGGCATCTACTTCTCACTCAAAAGGCAGCTGCCAAGAAGAGGAGAAATGTACCAGCTGCAGTTTGTGGTCTGTCTCATTGCAGATGCCAAACCAAAACAGCAGTGGCACCAGGGTCCACTGAGCTGCATGACAGATACTGCTTAGAGGATGTCAGCCATGGGGGTCAGAGGAGGAAAAGTGAGTTACTAACAGTCCTAATTCCTCTCATTTTTCTTAGGAGCAGAGAAGAGCTGCAGAATTTAAAAATAGGCAGTGATGCTATGAGAAAAAGCTCGAAAGGAGGGTTGCTCTTAGCAGGTCACCTGACACTAACTCCTACCCAGTATTAACACCATAGGTCTCCAGCCCTACCACAGGGAACAAAAATTCCTATGCAGCTTAACAGAAGAGCAGCAGCCTGAGAAGGAGGCATCTTACCATATATTCCACAGCACGTTCACAGCCTCATTGGCTATGGTCTCAATAGAATTTCTGATGCGATCTTTTTTTTCCTGTGGAGACAGCTCATTTGAATCCAGTCCAGCACTGCACTGTAACCAAATATCATGATTAGCATCCTGGTTCAAAAGAATAATTAAACAAAAAGGCTAATGATAGTGAAGGATCACGAAAACCAAACATCAGAAATTATAGTAGTTAACAAGTCAATCAAATGCTCACGAGCAGTACGATTCCCACAACTCTGCTTCCCTTTGGACAATACAGACAAGGCAGGCTCCCAAGTCATTGTGCAAACCGGATATAAAGTAGTTCCCATTTTAAAAGAAAGTATCAAATCCATACAAAGTATTTTACCTAAGGTGATAAAACACAGTAAAGGTAGCAAAGAAAAGTAACATAAACAAGAGCTAGCATTGGGTCTAGCCGGTAGCCGGTGGTGTGGAGGTTAAGTCACGAGATCCCACATGGTTGACTCCATGGTTCGAGTCCCAGACCCAGTGGCTTAGAAAACATGCCAGGTGTACATGTGTGTGCACCCAAAATCCCAAGAGGAGAATGGAAGAGAAGAAACTGTGACAGGGCCATCTCCTGGAGGATGATTTTTCTCTCTCTCCCCCTCTCTCCAATGAGCATACGTACCCTACAGCAAACTTTGAAGAGGGGGAAAAAAAGCTACAATTGGAAGATGCTATAAAGAGACTTTAAAAACTAGGTACCTCTTTTAGCAGTGCGACCAGAGGCGTCATGATATCCTTAGTCACCATGTCATCACAAACTTCAAATCCTCCACAGGCACTGAGATTTCTACACAAGTTTAAAAAACATTTTATTTTCAGATCACAAGTCACGACACACTACTCAACTCTCAAATCTATCTCTATGAATAACCATACCAAGGGTTTTTCCAGAGGAATCTGCTGATTGTTTCTGCCATATGCTGCTAAATCAATCCAGGTTTCCACCTGTTCTGATCCTTGTTCTACAAGAGGTAAGTGACTTCACTGTGCCATGGAGCTACTTAGTTCTGAGGTCTGAGACAGTACACAGGCACATGACTATGGAAAGGGAAAGGAGTTTTTCTCACTGCCTGATAAGATATGAAGGAACCTTTATTTGCGATCAAGATTGCAAGGGGAGTAAGATGAGCTTACCGAGGATGACATCCCCTGCAGCCCTGCACACGCTTCACTTAATTGGAAAGACGCTGCTTGCCTACTGAGTGCACAGCACCATGCGAGGCACTAGCTAAACAGATGGAGATAAGTCATGGGACCAGCAGTTAGCATAATGGCTATGTCGCTGAACTCCCACATAGTCGACCATGGTTCAAGTCCTGGACCTGGTGACTTAAACTCACGCTGGGCGAGTGTACATGCGTGCCCAAGATCCTGAGAGGAGAACGGAGGAGGAGGGATTGCAGCGTGGCCATTCCCCTGGGGGAGTGATTTCTCGCTTTCTGTCTGTCTCTCTCTCTTTCTCTCTGTCTTTCTGGCAAGCACACGCACCCTAAAGCAAAAAAAAACCTTTTTAAAAAAAAAGGTGGAGATAAGTCAGAAGACATCCCTCTAACCTTCCAGGAGCTCCCAGTTTGTATATGCTTTGGGGGGGGAAGGGCAGGATTTTCCATATACCTGTTCCTCCCCCAGGACCAGAATGTCCATCCATCCCAATGCCATGAAATGGTTAACTCTCCCTCAGCCCTCAAAGCCCACCTCCAACTCACTCAGGGTTTGCTTCCCTGAACACTGACCTGTTTATACCCTATCACTGCACCCTTTGTAATTATCTGGGGTTAGATTATTTGGTTCATTCCTGTCTCCCTCACTAGATGGTACGATTCATGAAGGGCAGAAATTATATCTATCTTGCTCACTACCTCATGCCCAGAACCTAACACAGTGCCTGGCACGTAGTAGGCATTCGACATATTTTTGTAAAGTCAATGAATGAAACTTAATTAATAACTATAGACAACTCTTTAAGAACTACAAATAATAATGTCTACTCTTGCCCTCTCTACAGTGCATCCTCTGCACTGGCACTAAAGTAGCTTTTCTAAAATCACTTTACTCCAGTGAATAACATAAGTCCTTCAGCCCTACGCTATCCTATCCCTTGTCCATACGTCCAGCCTCTCATCTCTACAGTCACCAGCTCTAGTGTCCTCAGCCAAACTAACTTTTCCATTCTTTTTTTTTTTTTTGGAGAGGTTTTTGCTATAGGGTGTGTGCACTCGCCAGACAGAGACAGAGAGACAGAAAGCAGGAAATCACCCCGCCACATCGCAATCCCTTCCCTCAATCCCTTCTCCTCCATTCTCCTCTTGGGATCTTGGGCATGCATGCACACACGCCCGGCGTGAGTTTAAGCCACTGGGTCTGGGACTCGAACTGCGGTGTCTGGAACTCCAACCACGTTTGACTACGTGGGAGTCCAGCGACATAGCCATTACGCTAACTGCTGGTCCCAACTTTTCCATTCTTAACCAGCCAAGCCACTTGCTGCCTCACTTCTCTGTAGGTGCTGTTTTCTCCGTGGCAGTCACTCTTTGCCCTACTGTCCCCCGCCTGGCTCTCTCACCTGTCAGGTCTCAGATCGTGAAGGACATTTAGCTAATATCCCGTTTAATGTCATTTTCAGCCCCAACTTATGATCCTCTTATCTTCCCACAGCACTTCTCACTGTCTGATACGTATTTTCTCTTTTTATTAGTTTCCTGACTCCCCATCAACATTGCTCTGGAAAGACAGAGATCTGGACTGCCTAACTTAAAGGTCCACCTGCTCAAAATCCCCTGCACTTAATGCGACTCGGGGTACACAGACTGGGACCCCATGGAGACGGTTAGATGTGCACCAGGCAAGGGCAGGACTCCTTGGCATGTGGCCGCTGCAGGTGAAGCAACCAGGTGGACAGATGGAATGGTAGGGTCCGGGTTCCCGGGGTCCACAGGAGCTTGGAGCATAAGCTCAAATCCCCCTCTGCAAACGAGAGATCCCGGACAGGGATTTTCTCGAGACCCCAAACCAAGCGCACTGAGGTCGACCAAAGGGATCTCAACAGTGCCTGCTGCGCAGTAAGCCCTGGCTGAGAGCAGGTACCGCCCGCATCCCTTCCCGGCTCACCTCAGTGCTCCAGCTCGCCCTGACAGCAGGGCTGGGGTCTAGCAGCAGCGGACCGAGCCGGCGAACCGCGTCGCGCCGCGCCAGGCCGGGGAGAGCGGGTCGCTGCTGCCCCAGTCGAGCCAGCCCGGCGCAGGCGCACTCGCGGACCTCGGCGCTGGGATGCTGGAGCTGCGGACAGAGCCAAGTGTCAGAGGGGGTGCAGTGCGCACGCGCGCCCCGGCCCGCTCGCCGCCGAGGGCTCCACCGGCGTGACGAACGGGCGCGTCTCCTCCCGCAGCCTGCCAAGCTCTCGCCTCACCTTTTCCAGAAGCTCCGCCGCCGGCCCGTCGTCCTCCTCGCCTGCAGTCCCGTTGGCCGCTGCAGCTGCCTCAGCCTGACAGTCGCCCGTAGGGGAGAACTGAGGTCGCTTGAAGCGCTTCGTCCTGCTCTTACCCATGGCCACGTGCGCTGTAACGACAGAGCAAGAGAGCAAAAGCAGGCAGTGGGTGCTGCAGGGCCAGTGACAGTGTTTCTCCGCCGAGGGGTCTTCGTGCAGACGCTCAGCTGAGCCGGCTGACGGCCCGAGCACACATGGGGAAGGTACGCGCAGGCGCGCAGACGGCGAGGAGGGGGCAGGCGAGGGAGTGCGCAGGCGCAGAAGAGGGCGTGGGCGGTGCCAGCCGAGGACAGGGGCGGAGTTTTGAGCTTTTTCCGGCGAAGGCGGTGGCTAAAACCGGAGTAGAAACATTGACTCCGCCTCTGCCAGCCACGTGACGACCGTGAGGTTACTGGACCATGCAAAGCCTTTTCTAACAAAAGAAACAAATGCGGTTCAGGACACCTAACTTGCAAGGTTACTGTGAGGCTTAAACAAAATTATGTAAAACGGTTCGTGTCCTGGTAAATCCCTAAGCGTGCACCTGCCTGTGATCCGGAACTGCTGAGACTAGGGGTGGATCCTAGTGTGAAGACCCCGTTGAGGGTCGGTCTCTCTCTCTCTCTCTTTGAAGAAAATAAACTTTTTAAAAGTTCTATAATGTACCTAATATCAAACATGCTATATATTTGATGCTCAAAGAAGATTGACCGTGATTTTATTCTGTGATCTCAGAGCCTAGAACAGAGGCTCTGAGTACTGTTAATGTTAGAATGTACAGCAAGGTTTGAGAAGACAGAATTCCTTAATCTCCTTGCTCAGTTTCCTCATCAGTGAAATAAGGTTATCAATAATATAATCTAATGCAGTTGTCATTAGGATAAATTGTGTTAATATGTTTGGGGCCAAGAACAAATAATAGCACATGGGACCAGCAGTTGACGTAATGGCTATGTCGTTGGACTCCCATGTAGCCCACAAGGTTCGAGTCCCAGACCCGGTGGTTTAACTCACGCTGGGTGCGTGTTTTTGCGTGCCCAAGATCCTAAGAGGAGAATGGAGAAGGGATTGCAGTGTGGCCATTTCCCTGGGGGGTGATTTCTCACTTTCTGTCTGTCTCTCTCTGTCGTTCTAGCGAGCACATGTACCCTATAGCAAAAACCTCAACAACAACAACAAAAAAACAGATACTAGCATATAGAAGGCCCTATATAAATGTATGGTTGGAAGTTTTGACAACTAATAAAAGGATTCTTTTGTGAATATTTTTTAAAGAATTACTTAACTTTGGAACCAGCAGTTGGCGTAATGGCTATGTCGCTGGACTCCCACGTAGTCGACTGCAGTTTGAGTCCCACATCTGGTGGCTTAAACTCACACCAGGCACGTGTGCGTGCGTGC